GGTCATATATATTCGGTCATAAAATCAGTCATTGAATCGGTCATTGAATCTGTCGCTGAATTGGTCACTAAATCGGTCACTGATTCGGTCACTAAATCGGTCACTAATTCGGTCACTGATTCGGTCACTAATTCGGTCACTAATTTGGTCACTGAATCAGTCACTAAATTGGCCACTGAATCGGTCACTGATTCGGTCACTAAATAGTCACCACGGAAATAATGACCGATTCCAGTTGGTCACTGTTTTAGTTAGTGGACGATTTTCGTTATTTAGTGACCGAATTTTTGGTTACTATTTAGTGTTTTTCTTGTAGTGTACACCATATATGATCCTTGTTCATCTGTATCCCCAAATTCATATCCCTTAATTTTTGTATCATTTCCAACTCCTTCACCATTAATGCCAATACTTGCACCCTCTTCCGACTTAAGGCATCAGCTACTACATTGGCCTTACCTTGATGATATAAGAGTTCAAAATCATAATCCTTTAAATACTCCATCCACCTCCTCTGCCTCATGTTCAATTCTTTCTGGTCTAACAAGTACTTCAAACTTTTATGATCGTTGTATACCTGAAATTTTGATCCATACAAGTAATGCCTCCAAGACTTCAGAGCAAATACCACTACAGCTAATTCTAAATCATGTGTAAGGTAATTTCTCTCATGCACTTTCAATTGTCGAGATGCATAAGCCACCGATCTCTTCTCCTGCATTAGAACACACCCCAGACCCTGATAAGACACATCATGGTAAACTTCAAAAGATTTAGTTGTATCTGGAATGGCTAGCACTGGAGCACTCGTCAACCTTTTCTTCATCTCTACAAAACTTACTTCACAATTATCGATCCATGAGAAAGGTTGATCCTTCTAAGTTAGTTGTGTCAAAGGGCCTACCATTTTAGAAAATCCTTCCACAAACCTGCGATAATAGCCTGCTAGCCCCAAGAAAATCCTTACCTTCGTGACAATCTCGAGTCGTTCCCACTTCATCACAGCCTCCACCTTCACTGGGTCCACCGATATACCTTGTGCCGATATCACGTGACCCAAAAATTGCACTTTGTCCACCCAGAATTCGCACTTGGATAGCTTCTCATACAACTGATGTTCTCGTAGTATACCCAGCACAACCCTCAAGTGTTCGACATGTTCTTCTCGGTCCTTTGAGTAAATAAGGATGTCATCAATTAACACGACAACAAACTTATCTAAACATGTAGATCCCAAATCTTGTCCGGCCTCACAATAAAGAGCAGAAGACTTCTGTTCGAAGATAGAAAAGGCCTCAGGTCCCTAGGCATGCTTACTAGGCTCCATATTAGAATAGGAAAGCTTTTTGTACACAAAAATAAGAAAATTTTGCCCGGAAGCTCGAGATGGTCGTCCCGATTATCCAGACGGTTGTCGCGCCCTACAAGGTGAGATGGCCGTCTCGCCAATTATGGGTCAAGACCGCCTTCTCGTCACTTGGCGAGACGGCCGTCTCGACCTCAAGGTGGTGAGACGACCGTCTCGAATGGCGAGACGACTTTCACGACCTTTGTCAAGCAAGACGATCGTACCAAATGGCGAGACGACTGTCTCCCACTTAGTGATTATTATCGCTTCTAGCCCACACTAGGTTCCAAAAGCCCCTTTTTCCTCCAAAAAATAGTTCTCTGGCAATCACAGCTCTCAACTTTTGTTTGAAAAATGTTGTTCTATTTTCTGAGAGCCTTAAAGAACCTTAAGTAGATGAATTAGGGTTTGGGAATTGGGGATTTTTGAAACTTGGTGTATTGGGACTAGGGTTTTCGAAAATAGGTTTAATTTGAAGTTCAAAATGCATATCTGACTGAAATAATCGATTATCTCAAGTGTTAATTGATTATTACAGAGCCAAAATCAACAGAGACCCAAAACGCACTAGTTTAATCAATTATTTGCCCTGTTAATCGATTAACAGGCCTGTTAATCGATTAACACAGTGAGCTGATACAGAAAATGATTTTTCTCATTGTAATAATCGATTATTTGGTCTTTTAATCGATTAAACCCGTGACTTTTTGATAAATATGAGTTTTTGAAGCTTCTAAAGAGTAGACTATGTACCGGCTATCTTAGACTCTAATATTACAGACTCAAACTCATCAAACACAGAGTTATTACACAAGAATACAAGTCTTCAACTCTCTAAGTTCTTTGTTCTTGAATCATCATCAAAATCAACAATCTTTATGTCCATGTAAGTTCAACATCAAGTCCTTGTATGTTCAACAAGGGTCATGTAGTCAATTATTTAAATTTCGCAATGAATAAATTAGGGTAAAAGCATGATTTTAATGTTCTTATTTTTACAATAAACAATCCATCATAGGGAACCCGAAAAGGGCATTGTGGGGAAGCTAATACCTTCCTCGCACGTAACTAACTCTCTTACCTAACTCTAGTTGTAATGACCAAAGTTGGTTTTTCTTAAAACCGCCACCTTCTTTTTTCCTTTTCCAATGTTTTTGGTTAAAATATTGGTGGCGACTCCAGGACCCACTTATGAAAACCTCACCCTTAGAATAGTTCGGTTATCGGACATCCTAAGGATGATGACCACATTTTTTAAAACGTGAGTTGAATCAAAGAACCATCGCATCGCTCCGACCGCCTCTTTTGACAGCGGCGACAATTACAAGAGTATTTATTAAAAAAGTTTAAAATGAAAGCATTTTCTTAGGATTGAAGTATCTAGATCCAAGAAATGAATTTATTGTCTCAGAAAATATGCATTAGACTTGTTACAATAAAGAGGTATGTCAACTTGTCAACTAGAAAATACACAAATGGAGAAAGATTTGAAATTATCTATTACATTATATCAAGTCTCGGTTGTTGGTACAATAACCGTTGAACTTAACCACCTGTTATCGGAACAACAATCGTTAATAGTGGTGTACTTAACTATCCATTATCGTACCAATATTTAACAACTCATCCTCGATATAAGGGGATGTGATAAAAAATTCTCCTCGATGTAAGGGGGTATGTTAAGAAATCCTACATCGACTAGATATATGATAACATTATAGTATATAGATGAGTACAATTCTCATTTTACTGAGCTGATTTTGTAGGATTCAATTAGATATCTCATCATATTTAAGATAAAATTCACAATTTATTCGTTGATAAATAATATAACAACTTTATCAAAATATATCATAACAATGAAGTAAATATAAAAGAAAAAACATAGAACATTGAATCTAGAACTACAAAGAGATTAGAGAACTCATAATTTGAGGAGGAATCTTCCACCTAGCTCTAGAATTGACAAAGACCTAATCAAAATCATCCTTACCTCCAAATACTTCTCGATAGGCGTGAGGGTTGCTTGAGACACCATAATGTCTATGTTAGACAATTGTTGCATGGATGAGCAAGGGTTGAAGGTTTAAGTTGGAGGTGCTGAGTTTTGACTTTGAGAGGAATGAAGATTCGAGCTCGAGGGCTTTGGATTGAGAATATTTCAGTACCATTTGGAAATAGTTCTATAGCACCCTTTTCTCTTAAAAAATATAAGGCATTTTAATATATATGTGCTCCTTAAGAAATCATCGTTAAAAACATGATAATGTCATTCTATGAAGGTAGATCACAATGTCAAACATGCAAACATTATAGCACTACTAGAACTTTTATTTTCGATGGAGGTTATTTAATTTTTCTTTCCTCCTTGATATGCTCTTTTCTTACACCCTCTTTCTCCCTTGTTCTCATGTCTGCCCTCCACACAAAAAGTCCCAACAAAGCCCTATATATTCACTCTAAAAAACGCCAATTATTCCATGACGTTAGCCACACATGCTAAGTGACAATTGAATTATGGTATAGTTTATAAATTAAAAAAATAATAATAAAGTTAAAATTTCCTGTCACAATTATATAATTTGTACCTGTTTATTAAAACTTTTAAAAATAAACCTTCACTAATTAAGCAATTATTTGTAGTGAGTGAATGAAAATCGTGGAGTTAGGAGGGATGAAGCTAAACCATGAAATGGTAACGAAAAAGGAGAATTTTGATGGGTTGGGAGAGACAACGGTACAAGGAGGAGAATTGATGGTAGACGAGACACACATTATAATATTCTTATGTAAAAATTAATTTATTTTTCCTTCAAAATAAAGGAGACATATCTCTAGATTATATTATTTTCTTCGGTAACATCTATTTTCTTGCTGATAAATTCGTAGATAATATGTGATTACATACACATCCTTGTCTAAAGATATATATATATATATATATATATATATATATATATATATATATATATAGGTAAAAGAAAATTTACAACAAATCTAAATATGCATGTAATTGAAGTTTCTTATAATAATACCTTAAAAAAATATCTACTTGTATGATCATATTAAATTATTTCCATTAATAAAGAAGAAAAAAAAATCTATGTGTGAGAGAAACTGAATTAAATTTTTGAGAGAAAATTTAAGTTCAAAATTTCTATACATTAAAAAATAAATAGAAAAGAGATTTTATTAAAGATTATCATACAAATTCTTGAATAAAAATTAATCTTCAATGAGATTAATGAATATTTTACACTAATAATATATTTTTAAAACAAGGCATGTTTAACATTTATACGTTACTTGTAGTTATTATACTTAGCGTGAAACTATTCTCTTTTTATATTTTCCTTTCTTTTAAATTCAAATTTTTGTTTACGAGAGATGTCTTACAACTGACTCATACATCTACCTCAATTTATGGCCCACAGAGTGTTGACCTGGCTAGAACTCTCAATTGAGAAAAAAGTAATTTCGAAAAGAAAAGCCATTGAACATCATTATAATAGGATACATCACAGCAACATCATAACTTTTACACGATTCTAAGAAAGTAGATCACAATTTCACAGAAACATTGTAGGCTAATAGCAGCACATGCCTACTTATTTAAGGATACATATCATTGAGAGAGACAAACTTTAGTAATCTATTTGGCAAACCAAACAAGGTGACCCTCAGGGAAGATATGACATGCTGTATCTCCAGGCTTGATGTTAAGTGCTTGTAGAAATACGTGGTTTGGATCCCATTCTGATGTGTCTTTATGGCATAGAGCTACACCTTTAACTCTGGTCCCATCTTCTCCCACTAAAGGCATCAAATAGGCAGTGACATTCGGCATCTGATGACACAGAAACACAACATATGGGTACCTCAAAGGATGACAAGAAATGATCTTGTCTTCTGCTAAAGTCCTCACTCCATCCTTTACTATGAACTTTTGGTACTTATTTTCCCTTTCTACCTCCGTAGAAATAACATACGCATTCTTCCCGAATTTAGAAGTCATCAAATCTACCATAGATTCTAATGAAGTTACACAATGTCTCTCTTCTCCGGTTATTCCAGGAATTTCACATGCATTAATGACTTCCTTTACAATCTTGGCCTCCTCTGACCTCGGTTTAATAGAAAGCATCTTAAATGTTTCATTTATCTTTGCTGCTGAGATTGGTATACTTTGCGCAATTTGGCGAGACAACAATGGGATTTCATATCTTCTTTTATTCAATTGCGCATCTAATTTTGCTCCGCCCTTGAGTTTTTCAGGAGAGAAAACTATAATTGAGTTTGCAATTTCATGTCGGTGATAATTAGCAGTGGGGGTCATTTGTATTTCTTGCGAAAGACTTCTTTTTGCATCACTAAAAGGACTAAACTGATCTTCCGATTCAATTATCTTAATATCGTATGTGTAGAGACTAGGAATTTGGTCTTTTGATTCAGTTTTCTTAGTACCATATGAGTAGAGACTAGGAATTTGGTCTTTTGATTCAGTTTTCTTAGTACCATATGTGTACTGAGTAGGAAGTTGGTCTTCTGATTCAGTTTTCTTAGCACCATATGTGTACTGACTAGGAAGTTGGTCTTCTGATTCAGTTTTCTTGGCACCATATGTGTACTGACTTGGAAGTTGGTCTTCTGATTCAGTTTTCTTAGCACCATATGTGTACTGACTAGGAAGTTGATCTTCTGATTCAGTTTTCTTAGCACCATATGTGTACTGACTAGGAAGTTGATCTTCTGATTCAGTTTTCTTTGCACCATATGTGTACTGACTAGGAAGTTGGTCTTCTGATTCAATTTTCTTAGCACCATATGTGTACTGACTAGGAAGTTGGTATTCTGATTCAGTTTTCTTAGCACCATATGTGTACTGACTAGGAAGTTGGTCTTCTGATTCAGTTTTCTTAGCACCATATGTGTACTGACTTGGAAGTTGGTCTTCTGATTCAGTTTTCTTAGCACCATATGTGTACTGACTTGGAAGTTGGTCTTCTGATTCAATTTTCTTAGCACCATAATTGTAGACACTAAGGAGCTGATATTTTGATTCAGTTTTCTTAGCATTGTATATGTAAAGACTAGGAAGTTGGTCTTCTGATTCAATTTTCTTAGTACCAGAATAATAGATGCTAGGAAACTGATCTTCTGATTTCTTAACACCATAATTATAGATAGTATTGACCGCAACTATGTCTTTAACATCTTTGACAAAAAAAATAGAATATATTAATATGACAAGAAAAAATATATATAATCATAAAAAAAATTATATTCATCTAAAATGTTGAATGTATTAAAATCACTTACTTAATAGTATAATTTATTCAAACATTTAAAACATAATTTTTATGATATATATTGAGTAAATAAATTAGTTTGAACATTATTTACATAAAGAACTTTAAAAATACCTACAAAAATATAAATTATTAAGTAATAGAATTTTATATATATATATATATATATATATATATATATATATATATATATATATATTATGTTTCTCCTCTTGTGATATTAAATTCATTATATCATTTATTATGGGCAATATCTTTCCATTGTTTTCTAGCGTAAACACCGTTAGATCTAGATGTCCAAAATACAAGTGCCATTCTATCTTTCATTAATTTAAAGGAAAAGAAATCTTCGTAAAGAAAATTGAAAATTATTATTGTTTATTAACAAGTAATTAATTGATGATATTAAATGATTAAATTTAGATGGGTGGTGAGTCTGGTGAGAAGAAGTTAGTAACAATGGACGAGGTCATAAGTTGTAATTTCAGCAGCATCATGTTATAATTCTTTTCAATTTTTATGCATGTATACACGTATTTATGTTTTTGTCTGGATAGATAAACAATAGATAGATTTTGTTAGTAACTAACCAAGCTTGGGAATATCAGTAATTGCTTTGGGGATTGGCGTGTTTGGAAGCATCCTTTCCCAGTAAACTTCTGGAGGTAAAGCAGCCTGAGCTGTCATCAGTATCACCTACATTTTCATAGAAATATTCATACCTCAAATTAAACAAAAATACGAAATAGGAATGAGATAAATATAAAATTAAAAGATAAAAAAAATCTCACACTGAGAGAAAAAAGCAATGGAAGGTAGTGCAACTCCATAGTCGAAGCAAAGTGGTTAAAGCTGAGAAGATAATATGGGACACACATAAACCCAAGTGATATTTATAGAGGAGAGAGATGACGTGTTTCTCACATTATTGAAATGGTCGGTACAACAAATTTTTTCCCATGCATTTTTCATTCAACATAACGTGACAAAATCAATTAAAAGCTATGGTTGGAATAGACCTCCCATTGATGTTTTTAAAAAACTAAAATTTTATGAAGTTAAATTTGTCTATTTAATTTAAGTGGATAAGGATATGTTAAGTCATTAGAAAAAAATTATTTTTGTAAAATAAAATAGACTTTTACATTGGACTAATGTTATAATTTTGAGTTATTATAAGAGAGTTGTCATTGACAGAATTCGAACCTAGTAATTTAAAGTTAGAGGTTGATACTCCAACCACTAAACTACTAGAATTTTTTATAATAATTTACAAATAAATTATATTTATATACAAATAAATGTATATCCATGTAAATATATAAATATAAATATATGTATATATTTATATATAATTAAATATTTATTTTTTAAAATTATGTAATTTAATAAATTATTATAAATTAATCTAATTATGATTAAATTAAATTATTAAGTAAAAAAATATTTAATTTTTTAATTAGGTGAATAATTAATTTATTAGAATATATTAATAATTATTATATAATTTTACCGACGGATATATCCGTCGGTAACTAATTATTAATTTGCCGATGGATTTATCGACGGAAATATCCATCGATAAATAATTGTTAATTTATCGACGAATTTACCGATGGATATATTCATCGGTAATTAATTGTTAATTTATCGACGGATTTACCGACGAATATATCCATCGATAACTAATTATTATTTTACCGACGGATATATCCGTCGGTAAGACCAAATTCCACAAATGCTTTATATCCGTCAGTAATGACTCATTTTCTGACGGCTACAAATTCGTCGGTAAAAATCCGTCGGAAATATGCGATTTTCTTGTAGTATAATTTGTATATTGGGGGTTTATGTTGTTGATGTTGTTGTTTTGTGTATTAGGGTTTTATGATGAAAAGAAAACGAAAAATGTTCTAAACAAGATAACTTTTGACTCAGATGTCGGATTTGGACGCACAGCATATCAAAACAAAGAGAAAAAAAAAAGAGAAGAGAAAAAAATATTTTTCCCAAAATATGCTCCTAAGCACATGTAATACACAAAAGTTTGTGTGGGTATAACCAGAGGTAATTGCTTTCAACATTTGTTAAGTTTATTTACCTTTGTGTCTATTGCATGTTAACTATAGTCAAATTAATGTTTAAAGTATTTCAAGATTCATCCATTTTCACTATCAGAACATGATATTACACATATTAGAGAACAAAGAATAAGGTTTTTCATTCAACATTTCTAGTTTGTTTTGTATTGTTTTTGTATTATATGTTTGTATTGTTTGTATGTTTTGTATTGTATGATATCTGGACTCGCTGCAAAAAAAAAATACGTCAGACCAGAGGCATACCCGACGTAAATTTATGTTGGTTACCTCCAGGGTCCAACGTAAATTTACGTCAATTACCTCTAGGGTCCGACGTAAATTTACGTCTCCCATATTAACATCGGACTTGTTTCTGACGTAAAAAGATCAAAATAACATACGTAAAAGTCCAATTTTGTAATAGTGGTAGAGAGAAAGAGAAAAACTTTTTTTCACATATCAACTTTAAGAAAAGTACAATTCTCCTTTGATCACCGTTTGATCAGAGTGAAAATTGGATAACAGTTTTTAATGGAGTGTTCTATATTTTGACCGTTGAATCATAAATTAGAAATCTTTATTGGAAGAAATAAATTTTTCATAATTCACTACTATAGAAAAGGCTTTCCACGTCGGTTTCGCAACCGACGTTGAAAGTTAGTTCTATATAACTTACTTTGAAAGTCTAATTTTTCAGATTATTTTTATTTACAACCCCTTATTTATCTAGAAGTTTTCCCCTCTCTTTTATATTATATTTTTATTATTTATCATATTTTTTAGAACTTTAAGCATTACCAAATTAATTTTTGAAGAGAATTGTTCTTGACAGGATTCAAACCCAGTATCTTAGAGTTGGAGGTCGATATTCCAACCACTAAACTACTAGAATTTTCTGATAATAACTTACAAATAAATTATATTTATATACAAATAAATATATATCCGTGTAAATATACAAATATATACAAATATATTTATATATTTTGATATATTTATATAATTATATATTTAAATATTTATACATTGGATGTGAGGACACGCTCGAAGGTGAGAGTGTGTATCGAGTGGGTTTTCAAAATTTGATGTCAAATTTGTGAGTTGGTCTCTTTATATGGGTTTGTAATTTAATGACAGAATATAATCTTTATAATTTATTTATATAATGATATAAAATAAATTTAGGAAACGCGTCATTCGCTCAAGCGAAAAATACCAATTTTCGCTCAAGCGAGGCTTGAGCGAGTGAATTTCCATGAGCTTTAACGTATTTTCACTCAAGCGAGACTCAATCTCACTTTCACCCTCGAGCGCACCCTCACATCCAACATATAAATATATAAATATATAACTATATAAATATATTTGTATTTATATATTTTATATTTATATATTTACACGGATATATATTTATTTGTATATAAATATAATTTATTTGTAAATTATTATTAGAAAATTATAGTAGTTTAGTGGTTGGAGTATTAGCTTTCAACTCTAAAATACTAGGTTCGAATCCTGTCACTGATAATTCTCTAACTTAAGTGAATTTTTGGCTGAAAAAAAAATAAAAATACTTTCCAGAAAATATATACAAATAAATATATATTTACACACACACACGATATATATATATATATATATATATATATATATATATATATATATATATATATATATATTTGTATATAAATATAATTTATTTGTAAGTTATTATCGAGAGAATTATAGTAGTTTAGTGGTTGGAGTATTAGCTTTCAACTATAAAATATTGGGTTCGAATCCTGCTAGTGACAATTCTCTAACTTAAGTGAATTTTTTGGTAAAAACACTTTTCACGTCAATTCATCTCGGGAACCAACGACGTAGAATATGTTCAATATTCAACTTTCAATGTCGTTTTTTAACCAACCGACGTTGAAAGTGTATTCAACGTCAGTTCAGCTTTAACCGAAGTTAAATGGTAACGTGGAAATCATATTTTGTAGTAGTGATTATTCTATTATGGAGGTCTCTTTTTGTTTGTTCTTCAATTTGAAAGTTTAATTATTTGATCTATTGATTGGTTATTAGCATCTATTTGTATTTGTATATCTCTATGTGAACTTTTACTTCTTACACTAAGACAATTTTGCTGTTCATAAACTAGGAAAATTATTTCCAACATGTACTTTTTCCTCATCTATTGTTCTTGTTGTTTTTTCTACGAGCTCTCTCCCTTCTACCTTCATTTTGTGTTGCAAAACCGTTAAAGAATACATAAAATAAAATAATCTTTATTTTTTAAGACATGAACTTTTAAGGAACTTTTATTTGTATTTATTTATGGTGAGTAACATTCAAAATCATATTAATTATTTTTTTATTGATAAAGAGAAAAGGACAAAATGGGGAAAAGAATTTCTTACATTCATTATTTTTTTAAACAACTTTAAAAGATAAACAAAAGGAAGATGTGAAATAAAATAGCCTACTAATATAAAGTAATTACATCTTTTAAAAAAAGATCGTAATAAAAAAAGGTCTTAAAGATTCATATCATATGACGGAAAGGTTTTCCCTACTCTAAAATTCCTAAAATCAAGTTAAAAGGTTATAAAGACGACTTTTCATAGATCATATCCACCGCAAAAATCATAAATGAATGAACAAATGAAACATGTACATAAATGCATAACTCAAACACATTATTAATTATATATCTCAAATGACCAAACACAATTTATATCTTCACACTACTATGTCATTATACAGATTTCTCGAATGATTAAGTATAATAACTTGGATATTCAACTTAAAATGTTGTTACTTAACCATCTTAAAATATATAAGTAACTTACACGCATATTAAGACAAATCACAAGAAGTCACATTATAACTCCCAAGCTCATCAAAACAAAAGCAGAAGTTCTCGTGACAAAATATCGCATTCACATAAATAATTCATTATTACATATCTTCATATACACTTTACCATAATCAAACACATACAAGATTTACACATGAAAATCTTTTTAGTTTTGCTTATTATCTCACTTGTTTTCTCTTTTGTTTCTATGACCTTTGTGAGGTATAAAACAAATATCTAGAGTTATAATAATCCTATAAAGTTAGTTATTATATAATTGTCTACAAGTTGTAGGTTGACTTCAAGACTCGTTCAATCGTTACTATCCTTAATATAAGAAAAAAAAATGTAATCTCTCTAGTACAAAATAGGCTTTTAACATCGGTTCCCAGGGACTTTTAACATCGGTTCTAGAACCGATGTAGAAAGTGTGACTTTCCACATCGGTTGTAAGGAACCGATATAGAAAGTCTAATATTTTTTTTATTTTATTTATTCATAACACATCTCTAATTACCCTATCTATTGATCTAGAGTTTCCTAGACTATCCTCTCCCTTTTATAACCCTTTTATATTATATTTTTATTATTTATATTTTTTAGGAATTTGAATTATTATCAGATTAAGAGAATTGTCATTGGCAAGATTCGAACCCAGTACCTTAGAGTCAGAGGCGATACTCCAACCACTAAGCTACCAGGATTTTCGATAATAACTTATACATAAATTATATTTATATACAAATAAAAATGTATATTCATGTAAATATATAAATATAAAATATATAAATACAAATACAAATATATTTATATATTTATATGTTGGATGTGAGGACGCGCTCGAGAATGAGAGTGTGTGTCGAGTGAATTTTTAAAATTTGATGTCAAATTTGTGAGCGGGTCT